AGTATGAACTGAAAATAACAGGCTAATTTTACAAGTTAGCCAGAACACTTATTAAATTAAGCAGAAGCAGCATTAGTTATCTTAATTAGGGAAAAGTTTTCAAAAGGCTTTACATTAACACTGTATTCTTAAGATTTATTATACTTGATATAATTGGTCCAGTTTTATTTTATACTCAGTCCATTTATGCCCTCTTTACACTATGATGTATTCTTTATAACATGATAAACATCTACTACAAAACCTCCTGAACTAATAAAGCATTCCAGAAACTATCATCATGTAGGATTTTTTTCTCCTCTTGTACACACCTAAAATTAGACTCTGAATACTAATATGTACAGTTCTCTCTATCATCTGAAATCAGATATCTTAACAAACAGCAAGGCAGATTTGGCAATATTAGCCTGAAAACTAAACGTTTTTAAAGTAAACCCATTTTTTTGCCTACTAAAAGAATATAAATGATTTAACAATTCTCACAAGACCTCACAAAACAGAAAGAAGGAAAACCATCCTCGTTGTTTTTATGACTATAGAATTACCAAATGTTAGATCATAAACCCATGATTCTTTAGTAAAGTGAGACATATAAGCATGACACATTCATAGTAAATCCTTGATACTGTCTTATTTAAGGAAGCAAGATTTCTTAAATTTCTAATTCTCAGCATGAATATACAAGCATATCATGTTATTAGAACTGTTAAAAAAGAACCTGACCTTCTCACACAGTAAGGTTTTTTATTACCATGCACATGGTAACTTTATGACCCCTAAATAAAAGTTTCAAAGTTTAAAAAAAAAGACTGAAATAATAATCATGATAGCAAATTATTGAGCCCATCTCTGAATTAAGTCTACATTATCTAATTTTCCTTCAGAAAACCTCAGCTCTATAGGTAGTATTACCACCTCCATTTGATATGTGATGGTCTTAAAGATTATAGGACCTATCCAAGGTTGCATAATCAATGTAGGAAATCTTAGCTCTGTCTGATACCAGGGCCCAAGGACCCAGCTCTTAATCACTGTACTGTCCTGCCTTTAACACTACTTGAAGAGGTATTCAGAAATGTAACCCTGAAACTATTTGGCTGTCCAAATGCTAAAAAAAACTATACTTAATCCTGTAAAAATTACCTTAGAATATTTTAAGATATTTTAAGCACTTGGATTGACTGTAACAGATAAATTTTAAATAATGAGCATGGCAAGGCAGTTCATTTGCCTACAGATAAAGTCTTAGGAACTTAACTAATCAAGTTTCTCCCATAATTTTTTTTAAAAAATCCATAAGGAAATATAAATTAAATCAATGAGATACCACTACATACCTATTAGAATAGCTAAAATCCAGAACAATGACCATATCAAATGCTGACAAGGATGTGGAACAACAGGAACTTTGTTTCTTTCTAATGAGAATGCAAAATAATACAGCCACACTGGAAGACAGTTTGGCGATTTCTTACAAAGCTAAACATAGTCTAACTATAAGATACAGCAATCACGTGCCTTGGTATTTACTCAAATTAGCTGAAAATTTATATCTACACAAAAATCTGAGCATGAATGTCTGTAACAATTTAAATCATAATTGCCAAAAAATGGAAGCAACAACACGTCCTTCAATAGGTGAATGGATAAACAAACTAGGTATATCCACAGAGTAAAATATCAGTCAGTGATAAAAAAAAATGAGCAATGAAGCAATGAAGACACGAAGAAACCTTAAATGCATATTACTAAGTGAGAGAAACCAGTATGTAAAGGCAACCTACTGTATGATCCCAATTACATGATATTCTGAAAAAGACAAAACTCTAAAGACAGTAAAAAATCAGTAGTTGACAGGGGTTAAGGAGATAAGTGGGAGAAGGAGGAACTGGTGGAGCACAGAAGATTTTTAAGGAAGTAAAACTACTGAACCTCTTTTGCATGATACTATAAATGGTGGACGTAGGAAATTATGTATTTTCACGATGCATTATGCATCTTGCATTGGTATAGTACATTTGTTACAACTGATGAACCATGACTGATGTATTATTAATAATTAAAGTCCATAGTTTACATTAGGATTAGCTCACTGTGTAGTACATTTATAAGTTTTGTATAATGCACAAGAGATGTTATGATAACCTAGCAAGTATCAGATGTATTTTCTGCTCAATTTTTTTGTACACCTAAAGCTGTTCTAAAAAATAAAAATCATTACTTTTTAAAGAAATCTACAGGTATTGAACTACAGCAAAAGAATAATAAATTACAAAAATTACTTAACAAAGGAAAATGTAAAGTACAGTTTTGTTTTGTTTTGTTTTGTAGAAAAGAAACAAGTTGGCAAGAAGTCAAACATGGAAATTCCATCACACTTTATAGTTAATTACAGAAGCATTAGAATCAAGTGGTTTAAAAGCAAAGAAACCTGGAAAATTAATTCATAATTTTCCTACTTGACATGAAATTAATAGTGTAATTTCATTTATATTTAAATTATAAACCAAAGAGAAAATATCTATTAATTTAACTTTCAGTGAATTTCAAAATGTGGACTACAACTTATAAAAATTTAATACAGGGGCTTCCCTGGTGGCGCAGTGGTTGAGAGTCCCCCTGCCAATGCAGGGGACACGGGTTCGTGCCCCAGTCTGGGAAGATCCCACATGCCGTGGAGTGGCTGGGCCCATGAGCCATGGCTGCTGAGCCTGCGCGTCCAGAGCCTGGGCTCCACAACGGGAGAGCCCACAACAGTGAGAGGCCCGCGTACCTCAAAAAACCAAAAACAAAAAACAACAAAAAAAATTTAATACATAAATTTAAAAAAATCTGTTCTGGTAGATTGCAATCTAAAAAAAAAATTATTTGCTAGAAATTATCTTCCTAGGAAAAAATCATTAATTTCTAAAGAGATATTGTAGAAAGCATATGACATAAATTCTAAATCATTTCATCTTGAATTATTTACACTGTTTTGATTTTTAAAAAATATATTCAGAGGTTTAAAAGGCTAAACCACTAAATTAAAAAGAACTTTCAATACCAGGATATACCCTTAAAAATCTTGAAGCTGCAAAAAAAATCTAGTAGTGTAAGAACATTCTGTTTATAACATTTTCCTCAAAAGCAGATTACAAAATGATTTAGAGATCTTGGTTCAGAAACTGCTCTTCAAGGACCCAAGATATATACCATCACCTACTCAAGTTTAAAATTTAATGAAGATTTTAAGGATTATTATTTGGGCCTCAAATCATTCTAAAAATCCTATACTTTTTATAAAGGTTCTACTGCCACTGATAATTATTTTAACTAAATAATACTCTTACATTGTAGTTATATAATTAGCAAAAATATCTGTTTACAGCTTTTTAACGAAGGAAAAGACTAAAGAAATTATAGCAAATATAGTAAATTTTATGTGCTATCTTTGCAATTTATGACATATTTTCCTTAGAGTATTTTTACTTCTCTTTTGTCCTAGAGTTCCCAAAATTGTAGGGTCACAAGTTATTCTGGACTTTCCAATAAAGACTGATCTATTCTGAATATAGATGAGTATACTGAATCCCAAGAGGGGCTAAATTTTTATTCATAAATATCACAAGAAAAAACAACTAAACTGTAAAGTTACATTAAAATTTATAATAAATGTAAATATGTATGTGTGTATTGTGTACGACTACTGTCTTAAAAAAACATAAGAATAATATTTGGAAGAGCAATCTTCTCTGGCTTTAATTAAATAAGAAATATTTTTAAGTAAATGAAAAGGATGAATACAATGAAAGCATATATCCCTATTCCTCATAATCCTTTTTAGTTAGAAATAATTCACATGCATTTAAAACTTGGCCCAGTGTTCATCCAGTATAATAACTGTTGACAAGAACTGATATGTGAGTTTTTATGTAGAAACTTTGCCCAATGCAGCAATATCACAACTTTCATATGTAACATATAGCAGTCTTAATTATATTAATTAATTATATTCATCATGCTACACATAACATTCCTAGTATTTATTTATCTTGTAACTGGAAGTTTGCACCTTCTGACTGCCTTCATCCAATTTCCCCTTCCCGGCTCCCCTCTGGCAACCACCTGCTTGTTCTCTGTATCTACAGCTTAATTTCTATTTTGTTACGTTTGTTCATTTGTTTTTTAGATTCCACAGTATTTGTCTTTTTCTGTCTGACTTGGTTTATATACTGTTACTATAATATATCACAGCCACAAGCAGGACTATGTACTGAGTGCTATGAATCCTCCTAGCAAATCACCAAACTTGGGGGTGGTTTTGGAGATCCCCAACACAGGAAATAAAATATTTAAAATTCTGAACTACAAAGTAAACTACCTACACCACAATGACAGAAACTTAGAGAATCTTTTTCTTTGGAGCACTAGGTGTTAAGATTTAATGAACAGAATATCTAGTTATTCCATTCATCACTATCAAAAACATATCAAAATGAATGAATAAAATGTAGAGTCAGGGATTTCTATGCATGGAAGGAATTCTTGTGGCCCACGAAGGCCAGTAGATTGGTAGATGACAGAAGGGGGACTTTAGAATATGAAAAAATAATACATTAAATTGCTTTATAGGAAAAATTAACAACTGAATGGATTGTACCATCTTCAGAGAAGACTTTATAAGGCATTATAACAACCACTAATTAAATCTCTTATATACCAAAAATTTTTATCTTATTCTCTATCGGGACTTTAAAAAACTTTTACAATAAATCATTTATATTATTAAAAAATGGGAAATTACTATATGCATTTGAGAAATTATTCTATAAATAGTATTAGCTAGCATCTACTCAATAAACAAACATGCAAAGAAAATTTGTTGTTGTCAAGAAATATACTTCCTGTTAGCTATCTGACATGTAGCCTCTCTGTCAGACAGGAACACAAACAATGCTGGCTCATTATCTTCCTGCATTCTTTTATAAAGAGATAAAAATACCTTCATTTAAACATACCTTAACTATTTCTTCAATGAAACAAATGTGAGAGACAGGGTCTCTCTTCTTGACTAATATTTTTTGCAGATGTTGTACCTAAAAGGGGGGAAGAGAGGGAGAATGTATATAACTGAGTATTTTCAAATGAAACAAGTATTAAGCATAGGCATTAGAAACATTAAGGGAAGGGAAAATACATTTTGCTAGAGCCCTTACATATATTATAATTAGCTAATGTAGGTATTTTGAACTCTCAGAGATTTTAAGAAACCTGCCCAAGGTCACACAATTTAGAATAACCAGGAATTAACCCATAATTAATGTTATTTTCACTCTCTCAAATATTTACCTGGCCACAAACAGTAAAAATATGATCCACAAGTTTCTCCATATTGGTCCAAAGGGAAGCACGAAACGCTGCAGTGTTTCCTGGGGCTGGCATGGTAGATCGTCCAGGTGCCCCTGGTATGAGCAACAGAAAAACATGAAAAATAAAAATTTCCAAATATAACAAAATGTACTGATACGTTATTATGAAAAGCACATACAGGCTAAAAGATGAGAAGTTCCTCTTTGAAGAAATTATAATTTCTTCTAAGTGACATAAAAAAGAATCTTAACCTTTTGTGTTTAAGAAAGGAAAATACGATCTCATACACACACACACACGCCCAGGAAGGATAATACAGAAAACATGAATTAATAAGAAAGGTTTCCTAGAAGGAGGAGTTGAAGAGGTAGGAGGTAGTACCAGGTGAAAGGAACGGGAATAAAAGCGGTGAGTCTCTGTGAACCATACAAACGTCTTATATGCTGATGTTTCAAAATAAATTTAAATTTTAAAAGAATGAAAAAAGCAAACTCTAAAACTAAATACAAACAAATACAGTAACACATAAAACTAATGATACTTCAAATTAATAATATAACCACCACACACAGGAAAATAATTAATTCAAGTAATTTTTAATTACAGCATCCTGACTTTAGTAAGATATATTTTAGGGGCAAAAAGAATCACAAAGAAATACTGTACTTTACTTAACAGATGTGTTGCTTGATAGTAATATTGAAACTAAGCCTATTTTAGAATGGCGCAAATGAAGGTTCTCACTATAAACAGAACGAAGACACAAATGTGTAATGGGGATTGGAGGTATCTGTCAATTCTGTTCACTAAAGGACAGAGAGACAACAACTCCTTAACAGAAATGAGCATGCCTGATATCCAAATTTCAATCTCTATGCACCATTCCCCAATAAAAGAAGCCAAGGCTTACTGAAGAAAAAAGTGATTCCATACCTGGAGCGGTAAAAATAGAAGGTGAACCTGGTGCATACTGAGCCAGAGAGCAAAAAAGGCGTTCAAAGTTTGAGGAAAGAAGCATTCCGAAAGTCGACAGAAATAACAAGATGGTGCATTGTTATTCTAGATAATAAAGATATTACAAGAAAATAAAACTAGAGACCACTACCTCATGAACATAGATGTAAAAAGCCTCAACAAAATATTAGCAAATAAAATCTAAAAATGTATAAAAAGAATTTTACACCATAATCAAATGGGATTTATCCCAGGTATGTAAGCCTGGTTCAACATTCAAAAATCAGTTTACAGGGCTTCCCTGGTGGTGCAGTAGTTAAGCATCAGCCTGCCAATGCAGGGGACACGGGTTCGAGCCCTGGTCCAGGAAGATCTCACATGATGCAGAGCAACTAAGCACGTGCACCATAACTACTGAGCCTGTGCTCTACAGCCCGCGAACCACAACTACTGAGCCCTCATGCCATGACTACTGAAGCCCATGCACCTAGAGCCCGTGCTCTGAAACAAAGAGAAGCCACCGCAATGAGAAGCCCGCACACCACAACAAAGAGTAGCCCCTGCTCACCGCAACTAGAGAAAGCCTGCGTGCGGCAACAAGGACCCAACACAGCCAAAAATAAAATTAAATAAATTAAAAAAAAAACAGTTTACATAATCCATCACATCAGCAGACTAAAAAAAGAAGAATCACATTAATACATTTGATCACAGTTGACAAAATCCAACAGCCATTTATGGTAAAAACTCTCAATAAACTAAGTATAAAGGGAATTTTCTCAACTTAATAAAGACTATCTATAAGAAGCCTGCAGCTAACATCATACTTAATGATGAGAAATGTTCCCATTAAGATCAGGTACAAGGCAAGAATGTCCCCTTTCACCACCACTTTTCAACATTATACTGGAAGTCCTTGCTAATGCAATAAGGCAAGAAAAGGAAAGAAAGGTGTATACTGGGAAGTAAGACATAAAACTGTCTTTGTTTGCAGATGGTACAATCATCTGTGTAGAAAATCTGAAAGAACCAACCAAAAAAGTCCTGGAATTAATCAGTGATTATAGCAAAGTTGTAAGATACCAGGTTAATGAACATAAGTCAATTGCTTTCCTATATACCAACAATGAACAAGTGGAATTTGAATTTGATAACAAAATACCATGTATGTTACCCCCTGGCCAAATGAAATACTTAGGTATAAATAAATCTAACAAAATAGGTACAAAATCTTTATGAGGAAAGCTACAGAACTCTGATGAACAAAATCAAAGAGGAACTAAGTATATAGAGAAATAGTCCATGTTCCTGATGGAACAATCAATATTGTCAAGATGTCAGTTCTTCCCAATTTGATCTATAGATTCAAGGCAATCCAAATCCAAATTCTAGAAAGTTATTTCTTGGATATCAACAAACGGATTCTGAAGTTTATATCGAGAGGCAAAAGAACCAGAAGAGCCAACACAATACTGAAGAATAAAGTTGGAAGACTGACTAGCCAACTTCAAGACATTCTATAAAGCTACAGTAATCAAGACAATGTGGTATTAGCAAAAAAGACAAATAGATAAATGGAACAGAATAGGGAGCTCAGAAATACACCCACATAAATATAGTCAAATTATCTTTGAAAAAGGAGGAAAGGCAATAAATTCGGCAAAGGTAGAATCTTCAGCAAATCATGTTGGAATAACTCAATAACCACATGTAAAAAAATGAATCTAGACATAGACCTCACATATTTCACCAAAATTAACTCAAAATGGACCACAGACCTAAAAGTAAAGTGCAAAACTGTAACACTCATAGGAGATAACCAAGGAGAAGACCCAGATGACTTTGGGTATGGCAATGACTTTTTAGATACAATACCAAAGACATGTTCTACGAAAGAAATAACTGATAAGCTGGACCTCATTAAAATTAAAAACTTCTATTCTGGAAGAGACAAATAAGAGAATTAGAAGACAATCCTTAGACTTGGAAAAAAAGATATTTGCAAAAGACACATCTGAAAACACTGCTACCCAAAATAAAAATTCTTACAACAGTAGGAAACACACCCAATTAAAAAATGGGCCAATTACCTTAACAGACACCTCCCTCACCAAAGAAGATGTACAGATGGCAAATAAGCATATGAGAAGATTATCCGTATCATACAGCATCAGGGAAATGAAAATTAAAACAACACTGAGATACCATTACATATCTATTAGATGGCCAAAATCTGGAATAATGATAACACCCAATGCTGGTGAGGATAGGGAGCAACAGAAACCCTCATTCACTGATGGCATGAATACAAAATGGTCAAGCTAGTTTGGAAGACAGTTTGGTGGTTTCTCACAATATTAAGCATACTCTTACCATACAATGCAGCAATTGTGCTCTTTGGTATTTACCCCAAGGAGCTGAAAACTTATGCCCACACAAAAACCTGCACAAAAATGTTTACAGCAGCTTTTGTTCATAACTGCCTAAACTTAAAAGCAACCAGTATGTTTCACTAGGTGGATGGATAAATGAACTGTAGTACATCCATACAATGGAATATTATTCAATACTGAAAAAAAAAAAGAGCTATCAAGCCATGAAAAGAAATGGAGGAGGGCTTCCCTGGTGGTGCAGTGGTTGGGAGTCCGCCTGCCAATGCAGGGGACATGGGTTTGTGCCCCGGTCCAGGAAGATCCCACATGCCACGGAGCGGCTAGGCCCGTGAGCCATGGCCGCTGAGCCTGCGCGGCCGGAGCCTGTGCTCTGCAACGGGAGAGGCCACAACAGTGAGAGGCCCGCGTACCACAAAAAAAAAAAAAAAAAAAGAAATGGAGGAAACTTAAATGCTTATTACTAAGTAAAAGAAAACAATCTGCAAAGGCTACATGATGTAGAATTGCAACTATATAACATTCTGAAAAAGGTAAAACTATGGAGACAATAAAACGATCAGTGGTTGACAGGGCTGCGAGTGTGGAGATGAATAAGCAAAGCATAGAGGATTTTTAGGGCCATGAAAATATTGTTTGATATTATAATGATGGAAATACATCATTCATTAAAAATTCGTCCAAAGTCATAGATGCAGAAACCTAAGAGTAACCCTATGGTAAGCTATGGACTTTGGGTGGTTATGACATGTCAATGCAGGTTCACCAACTGTAACAAATGTATCACTCTGATGGGGGATGCTGATCATGAGAGAGGCTGTGCATGCGTGGGGGTGAGGGTATATGGGAAATCTCTGTACCTTCCTCTTAATTGTGCTGTGAACATAAAAATACTCTAAAAAACAGTCTTAAAAAATAAAATTTTTAAAAAGGATGAATGAATAAAGTAAAGGTCCCTAAATATAACTCTTCGTTCCTGGTCTCATTTTCCTTGCTCTCTCCCCAGAGCTCATGTTATTTTGAAATTGATTATTATTAGAAGGTATATATTTATATATTTATTACATCTGCATGTATGTAAAGCAATACATAGCACCGTCTGTCATGTTCTCAGGCTTTAAATACAAATCATACTGTATCTTTTTGCAACTTGCTTTTTCATGTAAGGGAGCTGAGAATTATCTATACTGATAAAATTTATAAATTTAAATATTGTATAGTAGTCTACTTAACAAATAAGCAAGTTTATTCATTTTTCCAATGAAGGAAAGACTGTTTTCAATGTTTAGCCATTATGAATAACAGTAATAAAAATTCTTATACATACGTGCCAGAGTTTCTCTAGGGTTTACTCTTAAATGAGAAATTATAAGATCATAAGGTATACCCATTTTTAACCTCAGTGAGCAGTTTGATAAAACTGAATAAAATGTTTGAAACATTTTATTCTCCTACAGTCAGAGTATAAAAGTTTCTGCCCTCATCCAACATTTAGTTCTGTTTTAGATTTAGATTTTGCCAGTCTCACGACTGATAAATAGGATCTTGCATCATTTGTTTTTCCCTAATAACTAGTTCATATCCTCTAAAAAGAGGCTGAACATCTTTCCATGTTTACTGGGTATGTTCTTCTGCGATCTGCCTATTCATATTCTTTATCTATTTTTTTCAATTGAGTTATTTATATTTTCCTTAGTGATTTATAAACTTTTAGATACATTTTGGGTAATGTGTTCCCGTATAATTATAATAATGTTATTTATTTTGTAAGTTTTGAAACAATCTTACACATATAGAAAATTTTGAAGTATAGTAAAAAATATCTTTCCCTGAATCATTTGGGAATAAGTTAGTGACATGAGGCCCCATCACCCCTGAAGGCTTTAATGTGTATTTCCAACAAAAATGACATTCTACTACATTATCTCAATATAACCAACAAGATCAGGCAATTAACATTAATCCTGCCAATGTAACATTTAAAAAAATAAAAATAGCAATGATTATTCTTTTAAAAAATAATAAAGAGTAGGGTTTCTACATTAAATCATGGTATCCACTCCTCAACAGATGATAATAAGGCTTTTAAACTCTTTATTCTTTCAGAAAAAGGGAGCATACATTAGCACTGACAGGATGTGAATAATTGCTTTCATTTTTTTCCTATTCTTGACAACACAAGAGGGAATGAGATTAAACTGCTTCTGGAAATTTAAACATTAGATCAAACTTTTTGAGAATAATTGCTGGGAAAAGCTGAGAGTAAAATCTCCTCTGGCAATTTCTTTTCAAAGCTCTCCTTCTGGGATGGTCTTAATACAGACCTATTCAGAGGCGAGGGTTAACCTTTAAAAATCCCTTTAAGATCTAAGACTCTTTTATCTCTCTCTCTTTTTTTTTTTTGGTACGCAGGCTTCTCACTGCTGCGGCCTCTCCCGCTGCGGAGCAAAGGCTCCGGACGCGCAGGCTCACCGGCCATGCCGCACAGGCCCAGCCGCTCCGCGGCATGTGGGATCCTCCCGGACCGGGGCACGAACCCGTTTCCCCTGCATCGGCAGGCGGACTCTCAACCACTGCGCCACCAGGGAAGCCCCTCTTTTATCTCTTTTTATCTAGTGCAAATTATTTATGAGGGACATATATTCTGTGTTATTTAAGGTTATGTTTATATAGCAAACATAAAAATAATAATCAATGACTGCAAATATTTTTTAGTATTAGTCCTATATCAAGAACTGTCATTAATTTTACATGTATTATTTATTCTTAAGGACAACTCTATGGTATTAGAGTATCTTGTTCAATAGAAAAATGAGAAGAGAAAAACTGGAGGCAAGTGGTATAGACAACACTTTGGGTAATTTTTCTATAGTCTGAATAAAATAAGGTGGTGAAACTGAAGAAAGAAATTGAGTCAAGATAGATTCGTTTGACTGTCTTTAAGCAGAAGAAGATACAATAGCACGACTGTATGTGATGGGAAAGAGACATAATAAAGGAAAAACTGATGATGTGGTAGAGAGAGGGGATCTGTGAAAGCAACGCCTTTGAGTGATGGGATCTAATGCAAAAGCAGAGTACTTGGTCTCTGCTAGGAGCAAGTACAGTCCATCCGTATTAACAGGAGAGAAAAAAGATTTTAAGGAGAGAAATGCAGAGTTGGTGTTGCTTAGAAAAATGAGAGGTACACAGAACATGTAGTCTTTCGTGTCTGTGAAGTGTGTTATATATGTGAATGTCATCATCGGGTATCTTTTGGCAGGAAAAGGGTTGGGACTGCTACCTTGAATCTACCTGTTTCTGGTTTTCTTTAGATTGTGCTATAGTTGTAATGTTCCCAAAGCTTTTATCAGCTTCTGTCTCCACATTTACCCATTACTGCTCCTGAGTATGAGAATTATACAAAAGTCCAGAAAGATAAAGTAGAGACTGTATTTCCTTACAAAATATTTTCTGCCTCAATAAGAAGTACATGTGAGGATAAGGATTTCAGAAAGAAAAATATGTTCCTTTTTTTTTTTCTTGCATCTGTTTCCTCTGAACTAAATGAAGCCATAGTTACAGATTTTATCTAGAAGTTCTGAATATACCAATTGGCCAGTTCAACTCACTGATTAGACAAAAAAAGTTATAAATAAATTCTAAAACATAATTTCTTCTCTCATTTTCTGTCTACTAAAAAATGAGTCATTAGATTACTTTGAAACTTGAATGCTTCACATACTATTCAAAGGACTTTTCAGTTATAAATAAATAAAGAAGCTAAAGATACACCACATCCATACCTCTCACAGCTGACTGGGAAGGCTGAGTCAAAACTTTGATGTCTAATGCACTGTGGATATTTTCTTCTATAGCAGCACAATATCCATCCATGACACTGGTAATAGTATCCTTCAACGTTCCAAGATTATGGAAAACCTGAAGAGCTGTTCCGACCTGGGTTGGATTCTTTAAAAAGGTGGTGGTGGGGTGAGTTGGGAATAGATGTAAATAGGAAAACAAACACAAACAACATAAGTCTACAACTTTAAGTGGTACTTGAGCAGTTACTACAATATTTTAAAATTATTACAGACAAGAACAAAGACAATGCATTTGGAACAAATATCATTTTTAGTCATTATTTATTTCCTAAAAGACAAAGTTAAATACCACGTGTATGATTTCCTCCCTTTCCCTTTCCCTCCTCCTTTAAAGGATAATAACAAAATTTTAAATCTGTTATATTATTAGGGCTTACTTAAAATTTACCCCCAATCCCTATGAAGAGAGCCATGCTGGAACTAACAACAACCCTGTATTTGTTTAGAGAATAAATAGATGAATGCTGCAGAGTCAACTGAGGGCTGAGCTATGCAGACTGATACTATTATTCATTATATTTCCTTCCTTCCTTCATTCACTGAAACTACGAATATCTATAGAGTGCTTACTATGGGTCTATCTTGCTTCTATGTGCTGGAAATACGGTAGTAAATAAAACCAATTGAGTCTCTGCTCTCATGGATCTTGTATTTACTAAGAAATGTATAAAAGGTAAATGTAAGAGAATATCAGGTAGTGATAAACGCTATAAAGGAGGAGGCAGGGAATAAGAATAGAGAATGATGTGGATTATTATGGAGGGAAAAGTCAGAGAACGCATCTCAGGGTGTTATTTAAACAGAGACCTACATATAATGAAATCTATGGAGGATATGGGGAAATACAGATCTGGGCAGAGGTATCAGTGAAAGTGCAGAGGTAGTAATGTGCTTGGTAGCTAGTGAAACAGCAATTAGGTCATAATGGTGGCTGGAGCAGAGTGACTGAAGCAGAGACAGGTAAGCAATGAGGTGGGGAGTAGAAACACCATCTATGAGTAGATTAAGTCCATAGTGATATAAATAGGTTGCTGGATGTGTCACTAAGTAACTGACTGAATTAACAAGGCAGATCTTGTACACCAACATACATGTCCAGGCCCAAATAGCTGAAATTCCTCTTTCATTTATGATTCAGTGTCTGTTATTAAAGGCACATAGTTAAAAAGTTAGATTATTTCATTAACATTTTCTTGACTGTTAAGTTTATAAACAACACAAAATGTTATTTCTGAAATCTATTGGTGTTAGTAACAGTACATGCCTCAGATACACACACACACACACACACACACACACAGGCAGAGCAGAATCAAGACAATATCAGGTTTAAAGACAATCAAGCTTAAAGACAATATCAGGAAACATGGTTGGTGAATACTGATACCCATTTTAGACATTTTTAATATTAAACAAGAAAGAGAAGCAAATGAACATTGTTTCATATTAAAATACGTTTTAATGAAAAAAATTTAACTTGCATGATTATAATAGAATTTTATTTTAATATATACTGTCAATTCTGTATCAATGTACTAACAAAGAAAAGGGGAGAAAATAAGCTATTTCATACAAAATTATTAACTGAAAATATGGGGTATAGCACTTTGGTTGTTGTTAGTTCCATTCCATTCCCAGTGATTTTTTTTTTCACTTTTTAGTAGATATCAATAATCAAAATTAGGCAGCTGTAAAGAAATTTCCCCTATCACTATTCAAATGTCTATATAATCTAAGAAAGCATTACCTGAGCAATTTCAAAGAGTATTTTCACCTTATAATACTAGAATACAGACACATAGTGTAAAATTGTATTTACTGCCTTTATTATCCTCAAAGGATCTGAAAAGCACAGCTTCTCAACATACAGGGTTTCAGTAACTTAATAATTCTGTAACTTCAATAGCTTACAGTGAATGTACACTGGAAGTTATATGTGTATGTTAACTGAAAACATTTAAAGTCATATTTTACTTGAAAGATCTAGCTAAAATGGAACAGCCTTTGTATGTTTCTACTCCAAAAATTATTGACTACCAAAACCTTTCAAAACAGTAACATGTACAGTGCATTATTAAAGAAGCATCCAATATCAGAAGGGCTATCATCAAAAAGACAACAAATAAGTGTTGGCAAGGATATGGAAAAAAGGGAACCCTCATGCACTGTTGGTGTGAATGTAAATTGGTACAACCACTGTGGAAAACACTATGGAGGTTTCTCAAAAAATTAAAAATAATATCATACAATCCAGCAATTCCACTTCTAGGTATTTACCCAAAGAGTACAAAAATACTAATTCAAAAAGATATATGTACCCCTATGTTCAGTGAAGCATTATTTACAACACGCAAGATATGGAAGCAACCTGAGTGTCATCAATAGATTAATGGATAAAAAAGATGTGGTATATACAATGGAACATTACTCGACCATTAAAAAGAATGAAATCTTGCCATTTGTGACAACATGGATGGACCTAGAGGGTCTATGCTGAGTGAAATAAGTCAGAGAGAAAAAGACAAAAACTGTATGGTCTCATGTATATGTGGCATCTAAAAAACAAAACAAATGAACAATCCAAACAAAAGACAAACAGACTCACAGAGCAAACTGGTGGTTGCCAGAGGGGAGTGGGATTGAGGGGTTGGGTGAAATAGGTGAAGGGGATAAGGAGTTACAAAATTCCACTTACAAAATAAGTAAGTCACAAGGATGCAATGTATAGCATAGGAAATACAGTCGATAATACAGTAATAACTTTGCATGGTGAGAGATGGTAACAAGACCTATCGTGATGATCATTTAGTAATGTATCTGACTGTCCAAACATTATGTTGTACACCTGAAACTAACATAATATTACACATCAACTATACTTCAATAAAAAAGCATCTAACATAGCATTTATAATAACTATAATTTAAACTACTTATAAAAATTCTAGATGTAATTTTAAGCTTTCTAATTAACATGACCACTTTTTCTATTAATGCCAGTTATTTATATTCATAGTTTAATATAAACTTATCATTTCTTAGTTGGGAAACTATTAAAATGATAATTTAAAATTAAATTCTTTAACATACAGAGGAATGTGCAGATTATGTAGGCATAGCTTTATGAAATATCACAAAGTGAACAAACCTCTATAACTACCACCTAGACCACAAAACCAAATATTAGCAGAACCTCTGAATGTTTTGTGGCTTCCCCAACTCCATCTTTCCAAATATTATCACTATCATAATTTCTAACACCATTCTTTAGTTTTACCTGTTTTTGAATTTTACAAAAATAGAACCATAAAGTATTATTTTGTGTCTGGCTCCTTTTAGTCAATATCTTATTTGTAAAATTCATCCATGTTGCTGTATGTAGCAGGTGTCGTTTTCACCACTGTGGAGTATTCCAGAGTGGAAATTTACTTTGGTTTATGTATCCATCCTTCTGCTAACATACATTTGCATTATTTCCATTTTTTAGGTATTTTAAATAATGCCACCATGAAATTCTAGCACACAGCTTTTAGTGAACGTATGTATATGCATTTCTGTTGGCTAAGAGTAGAATTGCTGGATCATATGGTATTTGTATGCTTAGTATTTGTAGATACGGCCAATTTTCCAAAGTGACTGTACCAACTTATACCCTGACCAGAAATATGTGCTCCCCAATCCTGCCAAAATTTAGAATTATCATACTCTTTAATTTTAGCTGTACTTTTGAGTGAGCACTACTGTTTTAATTTACATTTCCATAATGGCTAAGGAGTTATCCCTTTTTGCTTGTTAATTACCCATTTGGATATATTCTTTTGTGAAGTGCATATTCATCTCTCTTGTCTATTTTTCTTTTTTTTTTGTCCTTTACATATTTGTACAAGTTGTTCATATATTCTGGGTATAATCACTTTGATGACTGTACATATGGCAAATATGTTCTCCCACTCTTAAGAAGTCTTTTAAGGCAGAGAAGTTCCTAATTTGAATGCAGGCCATTTTATTGACCTTATTCTCCATGGTTAGCACTTTCAGTATCCTGTTTGAAAAAAATCTTTTTCCCAGTCCACATTCATGAAGATGTCTTTCAATCATGAAAATATCTTTCTTTCATGAAGTTATCCTCCAGAACCTCTATCGGTTTACCCTTCACATTTAGATATACAATCCACCTGGAATTAGTTTCTGCATAATGTGAGACAAGAGCCAAGATTAGTGTTTTTCTGTTTGAATATCCGACTGACCCAGCACAATTTATTTGAGAAAACAAAGAAGCAAATGATAATCTTTCTCTCCTCAATCTCAAGGGTTACCTCTGCAATAAGTCAAGTTTCCATTTATGTGTTTTTGTTTCTGGACCATCAATTCTGTGCCATTTCTCTGTCCTTACACTAATTCACCTGTGTAAATTATTGTAGCTTTAAAGTAAGTTTTGATAGTCCTCTGCCTCTGTTCTTATCAATTTGATATAGGCTACTCTTGGTTCACGGTACATCCATATACATTTTATAACAGGCTTGACAATTTCCATTTAAAACAAAAAGGCCTATGGAACTATGGGTTTGCACTAAATCTACAGATAAAATTAGAAAAAATGGAAGTCTTTGTAATATTGAGCTCTCTAATCCATGAATATATTATCTCTCTTCGTTTATTCAGGTCTCCTTTAATTCCTCTTAATATTATTATAGTTTCTGTAAAGGGATTTTACATATCTTTGATTTTTATTATTCCTACACATTTGATGTTTTTTGATATTATAAATAGTAATTTAAAATTTTTCTGTTTTTTTTTTTTCTTTTTCTTCAAACCCTTGTGTCGAGGACAGATTTTCAATAGGTCGCAGCGAGGGAGCTGTTCTGTTATGTACGAAACCCCGATCCAGAAGCAGGTCGTCTACGAATGGTTTAGCACCAGGTTCCCCACGAACGTGCGGTGCGTGACAGGCGAGGGGGCGGAAAATTTTTCTGTTTACCTGCTGCTATTATATTAAAAACACCATTAATTTTAAATGGAATTTTACCAAATTTTCAAAACTCAGTCATTAATTACTTTATTTGTAGATTGTTTTGGATTTGCTATA